TGGAGCCAATGGCATGGCAAAAGATTGACATGTATGCGATCTGTGAAGTTATTCATATGAATAGTTTTATAATGGGAATTGTAGTTACATTAATTTTACAATTAATGATTTGCCTTAATTGCCTGAATATAATTGTGTAGACAAGACATAGAACATTGAGCACATATATTTGTGTTGCCACAAGTGTCTTCACTTGCCATAAAATTTATGGGCATTACACTGATTTGAATAATTTCTTTCCTAATATTTTCACACTCCTCTTAACAAGTCTCTGAGTAATTAACTTGTAATATCACAAGAAATTTTACATGCTTAATGGTCATAAATTGCTTTTCTGACACCCAGCTGACCTTTGTTCACAGAATTTCCTACAGACCATTAGGGGACCAATTTACACATTTTCTTTATATTTAGAGTATTAATATTCACACATTATTTTCTCTGACCTGCACACATTTTTCTCCATGTTTCATTCAACTAGTAAATTCTCATTAAGCTATGATTGAAGGTATGGATAGAGACCTTATGTACATGTACCATATGTTCTCTAATTTATATTCAGACCATTAATATTTTTCAACCTGATGCAAGAGAATTAGGCAAGAAAATTGATAGAGACCGTCAAAATTTGCCTTTGATAAATATCATCAACAGAACCATTAAACAGAGCTCCTCTGTAGGGTTGTTTCACCAAATCTGTGTTGTTATAAGATGAACTGCATTTAAGCAAGTATGAGCTCTGCCAGGGTGCAGTTCCCTAGAAGCAGAGGCTAGTGCTGACCCTGGGAGGGGCAGGTTGGAATCTAGCGGCCAGTCACACGGTAGGAAAAGGCAGGGCCTACCTGCTGGTTTTGGATCTCGTAAAAAATTTTGTCAGGATATCAGGAGAATTTTGAAATATTAAACAGTAAACTCGTAGCAGTGGGAAAAGAAAAAAGACACAAATTACTTAACTCTTATTAGTATACACAATAGGACTTAGTTCTTTATGTGTATTATCTCATGTAATGGTCATAATGTTACCTATAATATTTCAAGATTACACACCAGTTTAGAAGCCACAAGTGCAAAGATGAACATATTTGTTTCCATGGTCCTCCGAATAATCACAGAAATCATTTTTGAATCCTTACCGAAAGGGAAAATAATGGAATATCCATACAGAACAACTGTCACATCAACTGGAAGATCTCAACTCCTTTTACAGTCTCTGGGAACACATGCCTCATGTCTGTCCTAGGTCACTGTCTTTGTGCATTGGTTTTCAGGTCTGCCTCTTTAGCTCAGTGAGCTATGAAGACAAGTAGGCACCGTCTCTGTTCTCCTGCCCTCACAGTTCACGGGCGTGGCAGTTGGCACACAGACACTTAGAATAACATATGATCAGAGAACCCAAACTTTATCTGATTCTTGACTCATATTCTGATTCTTATGTGAAAAAGTATGAACTAAATTGATTTTATTATACCATAATACAAAAGTATGTCACTATGATTTCCAAGTCAGCAAGCAGTAAACACTTGCCAAATTTAATAAAATTATTTCTACTTGGAAATCTCAGTCCACGTGGCGGGGACTGATGATTTTGGTAACTAAGTATTTTTTCCAATGCGTGTAATGTATACCTTTTGTTGAAAGAAGAAAGTTGGCAAATGCTACATAATTGTTATACATCTGTTAGCATACTTCTTTTATTACTAATTTAGGTTTGAACCTAGATTTAGAACTTCAAAAGCCAATGAAGTAAAATGTATATAGCAGCTAACAGAAAAATGAACTGTGAAATGAGTAAGACAGATAAGCCTTGAGCGTTGATGATGCTTCAAATGTTTAAAAAGGTTTTTTTTTAATTAACTAACTACAAATTTGTGGTCATTCAATATTGACCACATGGCCTTTCTTCTAAGTTTTACCTATAAAGTTTTTAAATTGAGAAACATTTTTAGTTCAGTCAATTCATGTTTTTTTTTCAAATTTTATATATGATTATTTTTTTTTTATTTCAGCATATTATGGGGGTACAGATGTTTAGGTTACATATGTTGCCCTTGCCCCCCCCATCCCCCCCTAAGTCCGAGTTTCAAATATGTCCATCCTTCGGGTGGTGTGCATTGCACTCTTTGTGTATGCATATACCCGTCCTCTCCTCCCTCCTCCCCCCTCCCCCTCCCCCTGCCCAACATCCAATAGATGTTATTCTTATATGTGCATTTATGTGTTGATCAGTTAATACCAATTTGATGGTTATTAACAAACAACTTTACATGGCATTTATAATCCTAATTCAAACCTTGAAATTATACTTTTTCTAGCTTGTGATTCTACTTTTTTCCTTTTATTAATCTAAGAAGACAACATGCATTTAATTATATTTAATTGTAATAAAGTATTGATACTTTGACATCCATTAAATTTACAACATCCGAAATATTATGTCTATGAAACAACAATACTGTCTGATACTGCACAAATCTTCATGGTATGTAAAAATTTTCAGCTCTTTCACAGATTTTTAAAATGCACAAAACATAACATTTACCATCTTAACTCTTACACTTATTTTAAACTCAACATTGTTTGGGGAAAAGAACTGATGAGGCAACAGAGAACAATTTGTGCTGATGTCGTAGTTACCCCAGGATTACTGGGATGTTCCCTTGCTGAAGTTATGTTTTGAGTTTTTGGTGGCATTTCCAGCTATCAGCATGAGAAATGATAGGCTAAAATTAATAAACTAACTGCCTTTTCGGAAAAGAGTTCCAGACATTCCCCCTGCCCCCAACCTCCCACCTTCTACCAGAGTGTTTAATAATGGTAAATTTTTCAAAAATTAACATACTTCTACCATTGTGTGACACGTTCCCTGGCTAATAGCCCAAATCATGCACTAACACTGACTCCTGCCGGGTTACCGAGGTGCTACCGGGCACCGACCTGAGTGCGGAGGGGTGCTCGTCTGTCGGGGAGGAGCAGCAGGCTGCGTGCAGGCGAGTTCGCGGGCGTTACCTGGCGGTGGAGAGCTGTACTCAGTCGTTGCTGAGAAGCACTGGCAACGCATGGGCAGGTCTTACCAGGTGTTTTCCAGGTGTTGTGCAGGCATTAGCAGGCAGCAGCAGGTATGACCAGGTGTTACTCAGGGGTCACCAGGTGGAGGAGAGCCACGTTCAGCCATCAGTGAGGACGAGCAGGCGTTACAGGAATGAGCCATAGTCAGTCACCGCTATAAAGCATCCGCAGCACGCTGGCAGGGAGCCGCATCACGTTCCTGCTCTCCCCCGGGCGCGTGTTCACCACGCTACCTCGTTTATTTTTATATCCCTAACTCCGTTGTGACATCAGGTAAACAGAAAGTGCCCTCCTTGGCCATCCCCTGCTTCCAACATGGAGAAACCACTGCAGCCCTTCGCTGGATGCTGGTCTCCTGGGCGGGGACTCTTAGACACCGGTCTGTGCATGGGTTAGGGTAAGCTGAACTGCTGTAGCAAACAGAGCTCGACGTGGCCAAGAGTTCAGGCACATGCAGGCTTGCCTTTTGCACACGGGGCAGTTCAAGGCAGACATTTCTGGCAGGGTGCTGTCCTCCCCCATGTGGTCAGGCAGCACCCCAATTTCTTTCCTTCTTGTGGCCCCGCCATTCCCTAGAGCTGTGGCATCACCCACAGCAAGCTAGTAAGGGAGATTGTGGGGGTGCTGCCCCGACGACTTACAAGCCTGGGTCCACAGGGGCACGAAACTCTTCCGGTTGCCTTCCATTCATGACAACATGGCCACCCCAGGTAAAAGGAAGGCGGGAAAATTTAACCTGGCTGGGTGGGTGTGTTCCAGGTGAGAATGGATTTAGGGTTAGGGTAGTTTTCATGGAAGCCATCTCCCATAAAGGTCAAAGGAGGTTCAGGGTAAAAGTCAGGCTTGTGGTGGCCATCTTTCCAGCCATCTTCTACGATGCAGCAAGAGGGTCGTGGTCAGGGTCTGGGCAGGGGTGCTGGGGCTGGTTGGGGCTGCCTTGGCCATTCTCTTCCACAAGGCAAAGGAGGGACAAAGCACGAAGAGGGTCATTCCCCTTTCTTTCCCTGGGAGCAGCAGCTTTTAGACATCTCAGCAGTGCCTCATTTCAGTAGCAGAAAAAAGTCATTATCTTCTGGCTGCAGCTCATGTCGTAGGGGTGACTGAGCACTGTCCTGAACCATTTTTCCTAGGGAAAAAGATGTATTTGATAATGGCTCTTTCACATTACCTGTGCTGTTTCAATACTGCACTCCTCTAATGAGTGAAAGACTTCCTCTTCCCGCTAATGATTGATTGATTTGGGCTCAACCAAAGTGTCCTCAGCAAGATGCCATTGAGAACCTATTTCACACATCACATAGGCATACCCTGATTTTTCAAGAAGATTCACTTTCTTTTACTGAGCAACATATTGACAATTCCGTATTAACTTTCAAAGCTAGATACTAGTGAAATATGTTCAATTAGCAGGCTTAGATGACTTTGTGATATAATACCAGTAAGTGCATTACCACTGTGAGGATTGTAAAGTTTTATACAGCTATTACTAACTATTTTGATTAGTATTACATTTATGATATATGAAAAAAATTAAAAAAAATGGCTTGTTAGAAAACGAACATGTATGTAATATATACAGTCCAAAAGGGCTCCTCAAATCGTACTTAATGTGTTTTGTGAATATTTATAATCACTTTTTTGACAACCCTCTTTGAACTGAGGTGGAATATAACGGTATGTAAATGTGTGTGCATGTATGTGGTGTGTGTCTTTTGCATGTACAATAAAAGTCATCCCTCCTGGGTCATATTCTTTTGGGAAATCAGCACAACATGTCACTTCGGTAGGGAAAAAATCCAAATACATCTATTTTGTTAAACATTCAAGGGAAATTTTGATGATATAAAAACATTGACCTTTTTTTCAGATGTCTGGGAAATCAGATTGCATGTGTCTTTAATGAAATAATTTTTAAAAATTCTTCTCTCTCTTAGCCTCTCTTCCCCAAGAAGAACTATGAGTGCCTGACCAGCTGCGAGTTCCTCAAGTATATCCTGCTGGTGAAGCAGGGAGACTGCCCGGCTCCTGAGAAAGCCAGTGGATTTGCTGCCGCCTGTGTCGAAAGCTGCGAAGTTGACAATGAGTGTTCCGGGGTGAAGAAATGTTGTTCCAATGGGTGTGGGCACACCTGCCAGGTCCCCAAGACTCTGTACAAAGGTAAGGAGCACAGCTGAGCCTGCAAAGAGACCTGCACCTCCACAGGAATTTGTGTGCGCCCAGGGAAGGGCATCGATCATGGCTGCGAAAAGTCTACGAAAAGGCAAAAGTCTAAGAAAATTTATTTTATGCCATATACAAATATTTAAAAATATTCAAGGACCACAGAGATAAGCCAAAATATACTCAAATGGCGGCAGAGTAGGTCATTCATATTAATTTTTTTGACTTAACATATATGGAGAACAGCAGCAATTCAGGAACCTTTTTGTATTTTTCTCCAGTAGAATAAATCCATTAAGTTCTACTGGGGACATTGGAATAAACAAATGTAAATCCTTGGAAAATAGGCTGGGATGGGGTACACTTGAAAAATGCATAATAAATGTACCAGTATTTTGGTTTTACTGTTGGCATAATCCAAGAACAGAAATGTCATTGTACAGATTTTAAATATTTTGATTAATATCTTGAGGTCTTAGACAGAGTATTTGCCCTCTTCCAAAAGATGGGGATTCAATTTATCAAACAATTTCGCAGATGTAATAGTTTACATTCGAAAGCAGTTTCTAGAGCACTTCACTCCTTGATGCCAAGTGCTAATTGCTTTTCTCCTGTTAATGTGACTAAGTTCTTTTACAACCTGATAATACAATCCGATTCTGTTGTATTATGTATAGTTTGAGATGCCATCAAAGTATCACAACATTTTGTTAATTTTGGGGGGTGTGATTGGAAGAGTAAAATAGAATCAATCTGTTGGCAGCATTCATTACAAGTAGAAAGAGTAACAGATGTCTTTCCTTTTCTCTCTCTTTCACACATTCATGCCAAATTTATATTATTTCTAAGTACTGTTATGTTTTTTTTCTTTAGTGTGTATAAAGTGGAATTCACCCTCAATGCCAGTTTAGAATTCTATGCTGGCTCACTATTTTTAAAAGTCCGTCTTTACCCTTGCTCTTGTAACAATTCACATCTCCTAGAAGTTAGGTATCAGCCCCATCTTCCTTGAGCTCCCCCTGGGAAATACTCTGAAATCTATGTAATCCATCCAGTTTTCCTCTGTTTTTATTGGATGCTTGGAAACATAGCATATGTACTATGTCTCAGATTCGAAATAATTGCTGCTTTCCCCTTCGTACTGAGTGACATTTCATTAATAGATTTAGCGTTCTATTATTTTCATGCCTCTTATTATAAACTACATCATATCACTTTTGCAAACCTCAAGGCCATCTAATTTCTAAAACATCTGTTATCATGAAACCTTATCTGTTATTTTTAGCATTCACCATAAAAATAGGATGCTTTTGGAATGATTGTTTTAAATGCATTTGTAAAACCTATAGCTCTTTAAAAGTGGGGCATTTTAAAGAGATAATATAAATTAAAATATGCATATTTTATAAAAACATTGAAGAGTCACTATGAATTTCAAATATGACTGTTTTACCAAGTATACAAGTATAGGGGGAATATTATAGGAAGGGCCAGAATAAATGATTAATTGTGCAAAGACACTTGCACTGTGAACCTATGCTTCACTATTAATAAGATGGACTTTTTTTTTTTAAGGGTGAGAAAAGTTTCTTTTTTTATTTCAAAATATTTTTTATTTCAAAATATCTTTTTTTATTTCAAAAATTTGGTTACATGCATTGATTTTGTTATGCTTGAGTCAGGGTTATAAGTGTGCTCATCACCCAGATAGTGTTCATTGTACCCATTAGGTTGGTTTTCATCCATCCCCTCCTCCTCTTCCCACCACTTGATTGCCACTGAGTTTTACTTCTCTTTGTGCACATGTGTGCTCATCAGTTAGTTCAAATTTAATAGTAAGTACATGTGGTATTTGTTTTTCCATTCTTTAGATACTTCACTTAGGATGATGGTCTCCAGTTCCATCCAAAATATTTCAAAAGGACTTAATCCATCCTACTTCATGGCTGTGTACTATTCCATAGTATATAAAACACACCACATTTTATTAATCCACTCATGAATTGATGGGCATTTGCGTTAATTCCACATCTTTGCAATTGTGAATTGTACTGCAATAACATTCATGTGCAGGTGCCTTTTTAATAAAATGACTTCTTTCCCTTTGAGTAAATACCCAGTAGTGGGATTGCTGGATGAAATGTTATGTCTACTTTGAGTTCTTTGAAGAATCTCCATATTGTTTTCCATAGAGGTTGTACTAATTTGCAGTCCCACCAACAGTGTATAAGCATTCCTTTCTCTCTGCATCCATGTGAGCATCTACTGTTCTTGGACTTTATAATAAAGGCCATTCTGACCAGGGAAAGGTAGTATCTCATTGTGGTTTTAATTTGCATTTCCCTGATGATTAGTGGTGTTGAGTATTTTTTGGTACGTTTATTGGCCATTTGTCTATTTTCTTTGAAAAGTTTCTGTTCATGTCTTTTGCCCACTTTTTGATGGGGTTATTTGTTTTTTTCTTGCTGATTTGCTTGAGTTCTTTGTAGATTCTGGTTATTAGTCCTTTCTTGGATATATAGCTTACATTTTCTCCCTTTCTGTAGGTTGTCTATTTGCTCTGCTGATTATTTCCTTGGCTGTGCAGAAGCTTTTTAGTTTAATCAAGTCCTGTTTATTTATTTTTATTGTTGCTGTGATTGCCATTGGTGTCTTCTTCATAAATTCTTTGCCTAGGCCAATATCTAAAAGAGTTTTTCCAACATTTTCTTATAGAATTCTTATGGTTTCATGCCTTACATTTAAGTCTTTTGTCCGTCTTGAATTAATTTTTGTGAGTGGTGAGGGATATGGATCCTGTTTCATTCTTCTGCATGTGGCTATCCAATTTTCCCAGCACCATTTATTGAATAAGGCTTCTTCTCCCCAGCGTATATTGTTGTCTCCTTTGTCAAAGATCAGGTGGCTGTATGTGGATGGTTTTGTATCTAGGTTGTCCGTTCTTTTCCATTGGTCTATGTCTCTATTTTTGTGCCAACAGCACACTGTTGTGCTATAGTTTGTTGTATAGCCTCGTAGTATAGTTTGAAGTCTGATAATGTGATACCTCCAGATTTGTTCTTTTTGCTTAAGATTGCTTTGGCTATTCGGGCTTTCTTCTGGTTCCAAACGAAGCGTAGAATTCTTTTTTCTAGATCTGTGAAATATGACATTGGTATTTTGTTGGGGATTACATTGAATCTGTAAATCACTTTGGGTAGTATGGACATTTTAACAATGTTGATTCTACTGATCCATGAGCATGAGATGTTTTTCTGTTTGTTAGTATCATCTGTGATTTCTTTCCTCAGCGTTTCATAGTTCTCTTTGTAGAGATCTTTTACCTCCTTGGTTCAGTATATTCCTAGGTATTTTATTTTCTTTGTAGCTACTATGAATGCTATTGAGTCTTTGGTTTGACTCTCAGCTTGACTGCTGTCGGTGTACAGGAATGCCACTGATTTATGTACATTGATTTTATAACGTGAGACTTTGCTGAATTTATTTATCAACTCCAGGAGTCTCTTGGTGGAGTCTTTGGGGGTGTTTTAGACATAAGATCATATCATCAGCAAAAAGCAATAGTTTGACCTCCTCTTTCCTGATTTGGATACCCTGTATTTCTTTCTCTTGCCGTATTGCTTTGGCTAGGACTTCCAGCACTATGTTGAGTAGAAGTGGTGACAGTGGGCACCCTTGTCTTTTTCCAGTTCTTAGTGGGAATGATTTTGGCTTTTCCTCATTCAGTATGATGGTGGCTGTGGGTTTGTCATATATGGCTTTTATAATTTTGAGATATATTCCTTCCTTGCCTAGTTTGTTGAGGGTGTTTATCATGAGAGGTGCTGAATTTTTTTAAATTCTTCTTCTGCACTATAGAGATAATCATGTGGTCTTTGTTTTTGCTTCTGTTTATGTGGTGAATCATATTTGTTGATTTACATATGTTGAACCATCCTTGCATCCCCGGAATGAAACTCACTTTGTCCTGGTGGACTATTTTTTTTGATGCATTGTTGGATTCAGTTTGCTAGTATTTTATTGAGGATTTTTGCATGTATATTTATAAAGGATATTGGTCTGTAGTTTTCTTTTTTGTGTGTGTCCTTTCCTGGCTTTGATATCAAGGTGATACTGGCTTTGTAGAAGGAGTTGGGGAAGATGGACTTTTTCTTTTTTTTAAGTGCTCGAGTCACTCTTCTACTTCAAAGTAGCTCTTGGATTTTTGAGGGCTCTCCATTGATTTGGGGGACGAATGGAGAACTAACTACAAATGGAAGAAACAGACTCTGTTGACCTGAGAATGACTTTTGCATAATGACCATAGTATGGCCAATAGATTATAATTTTGAAAAAGATATACATGTAGAGGTAGTCATCTTTTTTGGCTTTCCTCAGAGCCCCTTGCGGAAGGCTGGCTTCCATGTCCCAGGAGTGTTTGACAGTACCCAAGACTAAGTTAGCATGTGTAAAAAGAAGAGTCAAATCAAGCCTGTTGCAACCCTTTCCTGGACATCTTAGCTAGTTCTCCACTTGGAGTCCCTGTTGTCATTCCCAAATAGCAGACCTTGCTCACTCAGAAGAGGAGAGAAGGGCCCAGGGGAATCATCTCTCCCAATCCATCCCTTGACTTTGTGAGGTGAAAAGCACATGCTCAGTCAGACCACACAAAAACCAACCTTGGCAATCTTGGGGTACCTGTGGTCACCGTCTTTCCTACCTCAAACTGCCTTCTCGTTGCTCAAAACAAGCGAATGTGAAATAAGCTTGTTTCCCTCCCTGTGCTTCTGCTAGGTCTGGGGTCCAGTCCTTTTCTTTAGGAAGACTGGGAGACATGGCCAGTTGGCAATAACTAACTGATCCCGCTTTCAGTTCACCACTGCTAAACCTGAGGTTGCAGGCCACTCCTAAGGGATTTGGTTGTTGGTAGCAGAAATATATCAAGTACCTGTTCCCCCCTGGGCTAGCTCCCCTGCCATTTTTATTTTTACTGTATAGGACCCTAACCAAAGCCCTCA